GCTTGGAACCTGTTGTTGAGAGCTATCTTGAATTCATTGAGTTTGTCAGTATCTCGAAGGAAGGCTGTATTGAACCTTTGTAGTGCTGTTTGTCCACTTGTCCAGTTCTTTTTTAGCTTCAGTTTTAAATTGGCTACAACTAGGTGGTGATCTGAAGCTACGTCAGCTCCTCTCCTGGTTCTCACATCTTCCATTGTCCTTCGGAATTTTTTGTTGATGCAAATATGGTCTATCTGGTTCTCTGTAGTGTGGTCCGGTGAGATCCATGTAGCCTTGTGTATACGTTTGTGTGGAAATATTGTGCCTCCTATGACTAATTTGTTGAATGCACACAAATTTGCAAATCTTTCTCCATTTTCGTTCCTCTCTCCCAGTCCATGTCGTCCCATAATATCTTCATATCCAGTGTTGTCTGTTCCGACCTTGGCATTTAGATCTCCCATCAGAATGGTGAGGTCCTTTCTTGAGCATTTCTCTATGATTGACTGCAGCCGCTCGTAGAATTGATCTTTAATGTCGTCGTTGCTATCATTGGTGGGTGCATAACATTGGATAATATTCATTAAGATCCCCTCCTTCTTTGTTTTGAATGATGCTTTGATGATTCTGGATCCGTGGGATTCCCATCCTACAAGTGCATTTCGTGCTACTTTGGACAGCATTAGAGCAACTCCCTGAGTGTGTGGAGCATTTTCCTCTTCGTGACCGGAGTATAGCAGCATCTCTCCCGTAGCTAGCCTTTTCTGTCCAGCTTGGGTCCAGTGGGTTTCGCTGATTCCCAGTACTGCCAAGTTGTATCTCCTCATTTCCGTTGCTATTTGGCTGGTCTTCCCGGTTTCCCACATTGTTCTAACGTTCCATGTACCTATAAAAATTTTTGCTCTGGTTGTTAGAAGGGGCATCGGCCTCGTGGCTTCCGAAGGAGCTCGGCTTTCACCATGAAGCGTAATAATTCTTCTAAATGAAGACCTTCTAACTCTCAGGGCAGAGTTAAAATGGTTTGAATTATTTTTTCTGGTAAGCGTTTTTTTAGCGAGTTAGTTTTCTACGGGATGGGGACGCTAACCCCATGTCCAACCCTCCTCCTTTACCCGGGCTTGGGACCGGCAGTAACTCTAGAAGAGCTACAGGCGGAGTTAACAGCTTATAATTATTGTGAGAAATTCTGGCAAACGTAAAGTTGAGACCTTACTAACTTCCAAAAATTACGGGGTTTAAAATTTCTCCAAAACCTTCATGAACCAGGGTTAGTTTCTTCATATAAAACAAACCGAAATCAACTTACTCAGACTCGAGTTCAGTCTGTATCTACTGTAATGTTACCCAGTTTTAAACTTCCATGAAACTTTCATTCATCCATCTGAAGTCGGCGAAGTTTATCAAACACATACAAATAAAGTTAGGAACACAGTTTGTCAATTATTCACGTATAATATCAATCTCAAGCTATCCAAACTACAGTTGGTACTTCTAAAATAGAACATCGATTTAGATCATAAATGATGTAGTAGTGATTCATGAGAAGTTGGCTTTAATGTCTGGTCACTTTTCGATCGTCACAGTTAAGTTATATGATCTTGTAAATGGATATCTAACCGTCACTGGAACAACTTTGGTATTGTGAGCTATTCCTTGAGAAATTTTAAATTGCTTGATTACTTATTGTTTTTTTAGATTTGTCCTCCTAACTAACATTATAGTATATATATTTCCAAGCTGTCTGTTTAATAATCAGACAACTATTTTCATTACATTCATGAATTCTCATTGGAAACAATCCTGCTTTTTGAAATTTTGGAATCCATGTAACTGTTTTTCGGACTAATATTGTTTATATCCTTGCATTATTGCTAAGTAACAGGACTATCATGATTCTATATTCTGGTCGTGGTTAGCTTATATTTTAATGATTAACTACCACCCTGTGTAATCAATTACTTATGTTCACCTGCTTCACAGTCACCTATTGCCTGTTCGAGCATAAGTATGATTTTTCGTTTTATAGAGTGGTCTGGTTTGATTTGCTTGTATATAAACCTGTGGTCTGAAAAAGATGATAATAGAAGCTTGACTTCAGACTGCCTTTTAAAACTAATGGTTGAGGATTTTGGTGGAGTTTTGTTCTCTCAGCTAGATGGTTTGGTCGTGGAGCTTTCATCATCCTTCTGAACGACATCATCAGCACAAACTTCAAATAGAAGTGAAGTGTTTGAATTTCTCCATATGTGTTTCAAAGCTTGTTCTGTGCACCTCGATGTTGATTGGTCCTTATTGACCTTAAATTCGTCATTGTTTACTTCTTTGTTTTGCTTTCGTCTCCCATTGTTTTGATTTTCGTTCTTATGTTTGTGCATGATTTTTCTGATTGGTTGATAAATGGGATTGTTTTCAATATGCTTGTTGATTGCTGATTGACCTGAGTGCCAGGCTTCTAAAAATTCTCTGGTGTTTTTGGAGTTTCCTTTGTCTAAGATTTCCACATTTTTCCAATCGAATGAATGTCCGCAGTTGTCCACGTGTATTGATATAAGTGAGGAGATATCATGCCGTTTGACTGCTAATTGATGTTCATTTATGCGCAGGTGAAGGGGGCGTCCGCTTTGTCCGATGTAGTGTTTTTCGCAGTTGGCACAATTTATTTTGTAGATGATGTTTGATTTGTTTTCCTTTGTTATTTCATCTTTTGGTTTGCATAGGATTGATTGTAGTGATTTTGTCGGTTTGTGTGCTACACTTATTCCGAAGGTTTTCAGCAGTCTTGTTGCGGTTTCTGATATTCTTTGTATATATGGTAGGGTGAACCTTTTGTTGATTTTTGTGCTTGACTTGAGTTCTAATGCTGCGTGCGGTTGGTACTTTTTGATGAAGTTGATTGGGTAGCCGTTCTTCTGAAATACATCCTTCAGGTATTTCTCTTCACTTCTTCGTGCTGCCAGTGTGCTGCAGTTTGTTCTCGCCCTCTTGAACAAATTGTGTACGCAGTTGGTTTTGTGAGCTCTGGGGTTGTTGCTATTGTAGTTGAGAATTTGATCTGTATGGGTCGGTTTCCTATATACTTGAGTTTCCAGTTTTCCTGTTTCGGTTCTAGTGATCAATATATCCAAGAATGCTAGTTGGTTGTTTGACTCCTGTTCCATGGTGAAACTTGATGTCATCGAAGACGTTGTTGATCAGATTGTAAGTGTTTTCTGGTTCATTCTTTTTGACGATGACGAAGGTGTCGTCTACGTAGCGAATCCAAATTTTTGTTTTGATCACTGGTATTATAGTGGCTTCTAGTTTTTGCATCACTGCCTCCGCGATCAATCCTGATATTGGTGATCCCATTGGTGTCTTTTTCGTTTGTTCGTAGATTTTGTTGTTGAATTGAAAACATGTTGTTAGGCATAAATTGATGAGTTCCTGTAGACTTTGAATTTGAAGTTTCGTGTATTTAGTGAGGTTTGTGTCGTTGTTGAGCAGCAGGGATGTAGTTTCTTTTGCTAATTTTGGTTCAATTGAGGTGAATAGTGATGTTACGTCGAAGGATATCATCAGTTCGTCGTTGTTGATTTAGATGTCCTTAATTTGGTCCAGGAATTGTGTAGGGGGTTTGATGGAATGGTTGACTGAATCTACTAAATGTCTCAGTATTCTTGAAATTTCTTTTGAAAAATTGTATGTCGGTGTTCCAGGGAGAGCTACAATTGGACGTAGTGGGATGTTTGGTTTGTGTATTTTGGGTCTGCCGTAGAATCGAGGGAGTACTGGTCCGTTGGATTTCATTCTCCATTGTTCTTGTTTTGTTATTTCTCCTGCTTTGACTAGTTTGTTTAAGGTCTTTGCGATTTGGTTGCCTAATCATGGACAAAGAAGAATACGTCAAAAAAGCCGAAGAACTACTGGAAGATAAGATCACATACAAACTGATGGATACAAATCCCGTCGAAAAAAGCATATGTAAAGCATCTCGGTGCTGTTTGGTAAATGGAGTTTTCACTGTACATTTACTATTTTTGTATTGTTGCCAGATGTATACCAACGTGGTCTTAAACCTGGTGAGTTCATCGGGAGAAGTGGGCATCAAATCTGTTGTTTGTGTAAATAGATTTTCAAACTGTACATATGTATCGACTTGGTTTATTTTATTTCTATAGTCACAAAATCTAGGGCCGAGCGACAAAGCCTCTACTTGGACTGTATCTAACTTAACACTAGAGAAATTATGAACGTACGGCTCAGAGTCCATAGGAAATTTTTTTCAGGTTTATGAAATTTTTAGCGACCCGTAATCTGACTCCATGTGGATCGTACGAAGGTTTCTTATCACCTATCTTCGTATATATTTATCGACCTAAATAGCGTTAATCAATAACGGAATTATATAAGTCAATTAACGAGAATGGACTTGTGAATACATATATTTTGTATTTTCCATCTGCAAAATCTTATTTTTACGATGACATGAAGGTTAAGTTGCAAGTTTCAGATTCATTGAAGTAAAAAAGTGACTAACTTCTGTACATTAGCAAATTCACACTTGCTGTTTCCTGAAAGATGAAATCCTTAAGCTCCTCAAAATACATCAGTTGGTTTTCAAGTTGTTCTGCATGAATTTGTCACCATGGTGATAAAAGAACCTTAAAAGTCCCATACTTAGATCGTCCAATTTCGTTGCTTAGTATGCTCGTCTGTGAATTTAACAAGGTTTTATGTTTACTTTTATATTTCAAATATTTTCCATAGTTATTTACCAATGTTTTTACTCTAAATGATCTAAAGTTTATAAAATATTGTCCTTTTTATATTTCAGTATAACTGAGAATTTAAAATTTGCCATTGGTCAAGCACTTCAGCTGCGAGCCGAACTAAATGCTAGAAATGACAAAGTCAACTCATACTTAGAAGAAGGTAATAGATTGAAAGCTTCATTCAAACAACATTTGATGCAATATGATAAGTCAAGATATGAAAAGTGCCACCAGCCATACGAAATGTCCGAGTTATATTCGAAAACGGAAATGGGAAAACAACATGGAACTAATAATCCAGCTGATGAAATACAAATTTGTAAGATCAGCGAACAGCGGAAAAAGTTCCGAAATAATACTTTGCAAAATTTGAATGTTACTGACACGCATTATATTAAAGAAAAAGTTGAACGACACAGTCGAATTGGAGCAGTTAGATCAATTTCCTCTGATCCTCACCTTGAATCTGTGAGGTTAAATGCAAATTACAGTCAAAAGTCAGATTCATCATCTATGGCATTAAATCAACCGGATTTACAACGCGAGAGTCATATGAGCGATGAAGAAGACCAAATAATAACAGATCTCCAGTTACGTATGACACAGTTAGTAACATCATGGTATAATTTGCACAAGAAATGGCATCAAATATATGAACGACTAGAATTACAACTTAGTATTAATGAATTTGCAAGGTTAGTTAAATGATAACTGATCACTAATTGACTTCTTATACTATTGAAATTTGATCATTCAATGAATGGTTTCGTTATTTTACACAACCATTTGATCGGTCTGTAAGACAATTCACATGAAATACTCTTGATCTTGAACTTAGTCATCCATTTAAGCAGCTACGTTTCAAAGGGTTTCTACTGCTGATGTTTTTTCGCAACTAACCTGTCTGTCACTGCTTTAATCATTTCGAATAACGTGTGTGGTTAATTTCGGAAATCAATGCCTATGATTCGAGCTTTTTCACAAAAATATTTTCAAAGTTTTAGCTTTCTAGCTTCTATGATTCAGCTATCAAATTCTATGTAAATCAGGATGCTAATGAAGACCTGAGGGGAAATTTCATTCGTTTTGGTATATTATTGGGGTCCTTCTTATTACTCACTTACTAATAATTAGTTCATTAATCAGAAGTTCATATTTCGTAACGAACCGGTGATAAATGTAATCAGTCAAATTGTAATGCTTTTAAAGTAACAGAGGTTTAATTTTATACTGAAAATATTTCAGATGTATTGAGATCAATGACTACTTAATACTTATGTTGGCAAATAGTGTGAACATAATCAATCAAATAGTGAATTGCTGAGTGAAATTAATTTAATGAACTGATAAATAAGCTAATCCGTGTCGGGTAGTGACGGGTATCTAGCTCAGTACAATGGAAGCTGGTCGCGCGATTTCGTGGATTGGTTGATGTTAGACACTAACACCATTGGATGCCGGCTCAGTCGTCTAGTTGGTTAAGCGCTTGGCGCGAAACTGTTAGGTCCTGGGTTCGAATCTCGCGGGGAGCGGGAACGTGGATGCGCACTACTGAGGAGTCCCATACTAGGACGAGATGGCCGTCCAGTGCTTCCAGGTTTCCAACGGTTATCTAACATCAATTGATTCATGACCCCAATAAAAAAACTTGATAAATAAGCGTTAGATAGTGAAGAGGGTTGAAGCCATCTATAATTCAAGTCAGCTAAACCTATTCATGGATTCAACATTTCAAACGTCAACTCATAATCTAAGTGGCCTATATGCATTTATCTAACTCTGAAAGTTGAACTATTTTATCTCATTTTATAATGTGAATTTTATATTTTAATTTAGTTGACAGTTATATATATTAGGTTTGCTTCGTTTTCTAACTATTCGTTCATCAGTCATAGGAAGAATTAGTACAACTGTTTAGTCTTTTTAATAATTTCGTTTATCCTGTTATCATTTGCGTACATGTGTTTCTTATTTTTCTTATCAAGTGTCGCAGATTCTTTGGAACATTGGCTTGTACTTCATTCAGCAGAAGTGGACTGTTTAGATATGGGTGATTCTATCAAGGAAACACAAATATTAATTGATCGATTAAATGTCTTGGAACGGAATACTTTGCCACAAATCAGCAGACATGAAAAAGTTAAACAACTTACAAAGGTTTGCTTAAATGTCACATTTAAAACGTTTAATGTCCAATGGTTAAGATCATGAGTCAGTTGTAGCTAGACCACCATGGAAAACCTGGAAGCACTGGACGGCCGTTTCGTCCTAGTATGGGACTGCTCAGCAGTACGCATCCACGACCTCGCCCCCTGAGAGATTTGAACCCAAAACCTACTGGTTTCGCGCGCGAGCACTTAACCAACTAGACCACTGAGCCGGCATCCAACAGTGTTAATGTCTAACTTCAACTAATCCACGAAATTGAACGACACATCCACCATTGTCTTCACAACAGACCTGGTTGGACTCCACTGGTCACTATTTCTCACTTGTTATCCAGAAACAAATATTTGCTTAAAAGTTTATACTGATGAAATAAATACAAAAATATAAATCATCTGTCTCCAGTAATCAATAAAAAATTGTACTTTTTGACCTAGCTGTAGATTTTTAAGACAACTTACAAAGATTATAAGCACAACTATCTTCAGCTATGTTATCAGTAATACGTCCGTTGAGTATTAAATTTTGGTAAAGAAATTGCTTTTGTCTATTTAGATGGTGGTGTGAAATGAAACTCAGTAAAGCTTTCGTTAATGTCTAGTTCAACTTAATACCACTTCAAAGTGTTGTAAATTACTAATTAAGGAAATGGACGTTTTTCTCTAATTCAAATTGACACTTATTGTATTCACTTTTAATAGCTAACGTCAAATACACTTGAAACTAAGAGTTTAAGTAATATCGTGCGACAAGTGCAATACGAAGGCTATTCTAAAAGTAAAGATTAGAGTCAAACTTGAAAAGTGCTCAAATAGCTACTGTATGTTTTAAAACCTTTTCGGAACGCAATACAAAGTATCAACCACTAGTGAATTACTGTTAGAATGCACAAAATCTTGAGTTCTTTTTAATCTTTAACAACGATAAGATGAGGTTAGTGGTAATCCAGTGGGATTCTTCATGTATCGTGGTTGGAACCAAAAGTTCTGCTCAAGATTATATTAAGAAGTGGGTGGTCTATTTATCAGGGAGGGTAGGCAAGCTGAAGTACAATATTCGGGGTTTCATCATGATAATGTTCTATGACTTGTATAGTAAGTGATCAGTCATTGTGTATATTCAGCCTGGTTAGAGGCGGGGAGAATCATCAAGTCAGTATTGCTTATGTGACATAATAACCATAAACATACATTGCCTATAATAATATAAGGTTAACATTTCAAAACATTACACTCTTAGTGAACTATATGAACAATTGTTCTAGTCATGTTAATACTCTTGGTTCCATAAATGTATAGAACTTTAGATTTTCGACTGACGAAATTGACATATTTTAGACCAGGCAAGTGAACTAATGACGTTATGCATTGAATGATATTTAAATGAAGCATAAGCACTAATTCAATGTTACCTTAGTCATTTTGATAGTTTATTATTTTATATATTTTAACATATAGATATTAGTACAAGGTGGCACCAAATACATATGTGTCACACAAATCTCATTCAATATATGTGAGGGCTGTGATACTGGCCGGGTGCCCATACCGAACCAGGTGGTTTTCTTAGGGGGCCACTCCCCGAGCCTTCGACCTGAAGGTCTGATCCACAAGGCAGTAGATCAACGTAAGGAGATGCAGTCCCATGGAAGCCGGTGACCAACAATTGGTTCATACGCCATTTGTTCCTTCAGGATACTGGAGCCCATGTGCACCATTGGTTTGGAATCCGGTTAAAGCGCCGGACATTCTCATTTCGTCCTCGCATTTTCGTAAACAACACCCCCTCCACGAGAAGGCAGTGAGTAGGACTTCCTTGGCAGAGGCTATATTGCTGGTTAGACAAAAAAAGCCGGAGACCAAACCACGTCAAAAACACCGGTTCTCATCCGATCACTGCAGTTAAGCAACATTTTGATAATGATTTCTTAAATCTCATTCTCTTTTAAAGAATAATAGATGAAATCTAAATTTTAATACACATTCACAGTTTAAGACTTTAAGTTTACTATGTTTCACATTTCACAATGTGTCTTTAGACTATTTAGCTTTTTCCAAAACCTCATTAAGAAGGGCAGACATCTCTTTCATATTACTTTCTTCAGTGTAGAATATATATGCCCGCGCACTTTGGCTCCATCATTTATCAGCATGTTACATATACTTTCTTAATTTATTTTGGTTTGAACTCGCTGAGATCGAAGAAAATATGCTTAATGTTCCAATAAGCTGTGTGAATATTGTTCATAGTCCGGATCTAGAAAATATACAAACACTTTTAAAATACTACGAATTGAACGAAAACGAGGCATCAAATGATTTTGATGATTCTAAGCAGAATGTCGACACGATGATATATGAGAATTTAAAGGACACTACGGATTCACCTGACGTTAGTTGGGAGACGGCAGAAGGTCAGAATCTTTCATTCGGTAGTTTAGCATAATACAATTATGAAAAGTATTTCAACTAAACTAAACACTTTAAAATTTCTGGTTATTTGATATGATCACAGAAAAAATAAGAGAAGAACAGGATTTTCAGTTCATTTCGAGACTTTCTATCAGCCACAAATAATATAAAACCACATTTAGTAACATCATTGCTTACACGTTTTTCAAATACCTTACTTATGCTATTTGAACTCGACTTCCTTGATGATGATGATAATGATGATAACATGAAAGTCGCTGCTCGGATAGCTCAGTGATAACGTCTCTGACTGTGAAGCTGGTTGACAAAACATCGAATCCTCCAGAGAGCACCAGTTTCCTCAAGATTACAGATACACCTTGATGACGAGTGCCAAGTAGCACGAAACTCGGGTCCAGAGTTTCCTGCCGACTACCTCCAACCACCATCTAACGTGAAAGTTTGTTTATAATCTAATCATATACTTAGAATACTTCAAAATATTATTTCACTTAGTATACTTCAGTAAAAGAAGGATAAAAGTTATTGTTTGATAAAATGAAACAATTTAAAGGCTTGTGTTTCACGTTTGTTACAGATGCAAACGTTTCACAAATTAAATAACTGTGATAATTCTGGATGCGCGCTGCCACTGAGGAGTCCTATACTAGGACGAAACGGCCGTCCAGTGCTTTTAGGTTTCCAGTGGTGGTTTAGCTTCAATTGGCTCATGATATCAATCAGTGAAATTTATAAAAATCTCCACAAAACCCATTCTGATAATTGATAATTAGTTGATTTGGATGATAAATCTAATCATAGAATATCTCTCTCTTTATATCAAAATGCAATATGTGACGTCATTGTTCACACGATACATGTCCAAGTTATTATCGAGTCAGTTAACAAACTAATACATTTGATTTATAGTTTGATTAATCTCTCAGTGGTTATTAAGTTTTATAATTCTCCCAGTTGAGTGATCTTTTCAATTAATAATAATGATAATAATAATAATAATAATAATAATAAATTATATTCTGAAAAATAATAATTACACAATTCACGCCAGTTTACAGGCATGATCAATTTGATATAAATAATAACATTAAACGTGCAGAACAAACATGTGATAAAAAAAGCTTTAAGTATACTAGTTCAGTAGTTGTTTAAGTAGTATATATATTACAGCGATCCTATGCATCAGCCGGGAATTTTTAATATTTCTTAAATGGACAGCCTGTTGATTTATGAACGGTGTTATTAAGGTCAATTCGTGTGCCAGATCGAAATAATGATAATTATCTACAACTAGAGAAATTAAAACGAAAACAAAGAGCATAGAACAACAAAAAAGTAATTACCAAAATATATCAATCCGGTCTACCTAAATACGTGTGTCATGTGACACAGTGATATACTGTTCGTGTTATTCAAATTAGTTAAAGTTGCTAGGGACGGTGTTAACATGAAGTGACAGCAAGTAGGTGGTTTTACTTAAGGGGAATGAACTAATAAAGATGGCTAAACATTTAAAGTTCCTAAAATATCACTTGTGGAATGAGATACACTTAAAGGCGCTAGACCATTCAATGCATTTTCAGAGGAGCAGTATGCATCGATGCAGCGAACAAATAATGGGAGTGATTTTATCGTGCGGATAGATTGTGGTAGATTATTCCAGAGTCTAGAAAATTTACAGGCGAAGTAATTCATATAAAGAGATGATTTAGAATGAGTTTGTTTCACTAGTGCCAAGGAATTACGGATGTAATAATGAGAGGTTTCTGCATATTGAATCGCATGATCGGATGTAAACAATAGTTTATGAAGTAGTTTGAAGAAAAAGATAAGATTTAGTTTGAGTCTCCTCCTCCATAAAGGGTCTAGCCCAAGTTTATTACATTTAGAATTATAAGTTAAGGTACAATCAGCTCCAAGAATACGAAGTGTAAATCGTCTCTGTACTGATTCCAGCCTTAATTTATCCTTTATGAGCGCACTGCTAAGAATAAACGTGCAGTATTCCAGAAGAGGTAATATGTTCAAAGAAACAAAACGTGATTTCTGTACTATATATATACAGACTAGAGCAATGATTGCTGAATTTTATAGGCATCATATTTATAAGTTACGGTATGGTTACTAAATGACTTCAAAGCGTAATGTTTTGTTAGTTAAATGTTAACTTTCATTAGGCTATTCAATTTACTTCCATCATTTCTTCTAAACACTGTTTATAGATTCTATAAGTGACTATTTAATGAGAAAACACGAATGGATTAATCATAATTGTAAATCTCGTGATCGTTCCTGGTATGAACTATATATGGTCTTAAATACATCAGTTAAAGAGCTGTTAGCCTATAAAAACAAATCTGATTACAATGAAGATAAGTGAGTTTACATGTTTATGCTGAAATGAAAAAATACTTGATCCATCATTGTTGATTTTTCTGTCACTAGTACCTTACTTCTCAGATCGGTAGTATGAATGGAACGCTTCCTTGTACTATTTATACCAATTCTTTTTACTAAGAAGCTCCTATTCATGAGTTGATTAAATAAGGTTTTCCGAAGTTCACGAGAAGCCGTAAATTTTGATGGGCTTCTGATGTTACTACTTAGATTATGTTAAAGTAGTATGATATTTATATAGAAAATACTAAACGATTACAATTCGCACACAAATTAAACTATTTCGTGGTTTGTACAAATCACCAGTCAAATGATTCGAAAAATTCACTAATATTCCGAAAATTTGAGATAAAGCTTTTGTAGATCGTATGGTTGAAATTGAGAGTATGTGGTTATCTTAAACAAAAAATTCCGTGTTTATTGGATGCTTAGTTCTTACAAATTCAATGAAGAATATTTAGCTGTTACTCATTGAAACCTTGTCATAAATCGATATGTATTATTTGCTTTAAAGTTTGTTCGTTTTGCCGATGATCTAACTATTCATGATCACTTCATTGAATGGTCATCAATCATAAATGGAACATAACATTTTGCACATGTAAAATCAATCTTTTAATTGTGCTAAATCTGTATTAGTTCTTCACTTTGTCTTAATAGTTATTTGAGGAAATAATTTCTTTCTCAGGTTCTAAAAAAATATTTTGTCATTTTATTTTTTGTTTAAGTCCCCAATCCAATACATTTCGTGGAGAGACTGGATTACTGGTTGGACAAAATCTATTAACTGCCTGTGAAACAAAGGATTATACGAAACGATCAAATACATTCCGCATTACATCTACGGCTACCGGAGCTCGGTATCTATTCCAAGTTCGTAATAACTGTCATTCATTACGTTTGATAATTTGAACATCATAAATCTACATGAAGTATAACATTAATTATGTGATGAATCGGATTTAAATTAACCGTGACGTCGAAGTTTTCGCTAGTTGTTTCAAGATAAATTTAGAAAATCTAAAGTTAGGCAAATGATTTTGAATTTTTAGTGTCGGTTTTAAAACTACTACTATCTAAATAACTCAATATAGATGCACAGAAAGTCAAATGATCTGGCAGTTAAGGCAGGTTATGCAAAAACATAATGAGGAATTCAGTTGAATAAGCCTGACAAAAAACTAAAAATTTATTTTTTGATAAATGCAAGAGTACCCTATTTGAAGACCAGGATAACTGAAGAGGCTGTATGAACGTGATCTGCACACTAGATCAGGTTCATTGACACGTATTGCTTTGGCTTTCTTTGTATATGAGTGGCAAATTTTGGAAGTATATAACAGGGTTGACGAAGTTCTATCGATAAACTAGACAGCAAAATGTGGGTCCTGACCTGTATCAACTTAATATCTCATATTAGAACTTCTTGTTGCTTCATTTTATCTTTCGTCAGCTATGCAAAGCGATTTTCAGAAATCCAATGTTTTAATCATGAAAATGCAATTAAACATGTTCAATAAAAAGAAACTGTTCTTAACACTGAGAGTTAAAAAAAAGATGTTAAATCTACATACAAGTCGTCTTAGTTAAAGGAGTTCGATTGCCTTCTGTTTACCATCAACCAGCTGGGCAGTGAAGATTGTTACAAGACTTCGTTACTTTTTTATCAGAAATCTACGAACCGCTGTTAGCAAATACCCAAACAATTACAGCTGACATTGCTAAGTGACTTAGGAGCGCCTTGATACCGACGAGGGTAAATATTGATCCCACAGGATCTCCCAACGCTTCCAGGTGGAGCTTCCTTAGATGTAAATTCGGTTGAAGTGTTAATAGCTCTGTTACTTTTTCCTTCTTTTGGATTTTCAGCGGATGATATTAAATAACAGTGTAAAACATCTACAGATTAAGAAATTTCGTATTCATCTGTGATCTACAGTATAACGACTGCACAGTGAACATACAGATGATTCATATCGATTGGTTAATCTGCCTTTCTTAAATCCCTTTCGTTTGAGCTCTGAACGTTATGTCTACTTATACTATTGTTATGCATGCCGTATATTTATTTACTAACGAAAACGAATTTACCGAATTCATTTATTTTAGAATTATATTTCTTAGTATATTTACGTTTTATAAATGACAATCATAAACCTATTTTCGCTGTTTACTATTTTAGGCTCAAACCAGTGAAATTATGAGAAAGTGGCTAGATTTTATTCAAAATATCAACCGACAAACGAGATCAACATCAGGTCCAACCCTTATCACTTTATCGAGACCATCTGAAGAATTCCAGAATCCTTTAGTCATTGTAGATATGCACGAAACACTAACTACGTCGAAAAAATTAACTTTAACACAAATGTTTAGATCAAACACAACTAATCAAATATCATGCATGCGAAGACATAGTTCAACCCAGGATAATGATCTTACTAATAATATGTTGGCGAACACAGAGTCACCACAAATTCGAATGAAACGATTTCCTTCAGTGCGCACAATGAGAGTATTTTCACCAAGACAAGTAGTACGTTGGCTGACATTTAAATATTCTTCTTTATCACCCTCATCCTCCTCCAGCATGAGTCATCAAACGCCTAAATTGATTAGAAGTAGTACATCACATAATATGGAATCTGAACAGTCTGGTCAACCAACTCCATTACTACGCAAAAGTTTAACTTATGGTTCCTTGCATAAAATTAGTCGATTTTCTATTACACCAAAGAGTCATAAAGATACATGACATGGATATCATTAGAATTGGTGTGTAAAATACATATCGACTATAACATTCAATGACCGTTAATGTCCTCCCCCCAAAAAAAATGAAAATTTTTAATTTAGTTTATAAGGTATCAGCAAGCATTCACTAAAGAGAATACCTCATTGAGCCTTTATATGTTTGGATCTATATATATTCCGATTATGAACAATAAACAATTGACCTATTTACATTTCAATAAAAGGTATTTCACAACTAAAATCAAACTAAATATATCAATCAATTTCAGTTAAAAGAGAATTATTCTTATCAAAAACAAACAAAGCAAAATATGTAAAGAGAGACAATGAAAGCTATGCAAGTAAATCAGTGATTTACTATAACACTAAAATGGTATTAAGTTGAATTAGACATTGACAAAAGCTTTATTGAGTTTCATTTCATATCACCATCTAAACAGACAAAAACAATTTCTTTACCAAGATGTTATACTCAATGGATGTATTACATATAAAATAACTGAAGATAGTTGTGTTTATAGTCTTAATAAATCATCTAAAAAAACTATAGATAGGTCAGAAAGTGCAATATAGTGACTACCGAAGAAGGGTTAAGGGTAAGGGTTAGGGTCGGAGTCAGGTCAAAGGTTAGGATTGAGGGTCAGAGTTAGGCTTGAGTTAGGGTTAGAAGGTCCAATGTTAATAGTGCATGGGTCCATGAGTATTGTGTCGTTTGTAGTGTTGTCCTGAATAGTACAGTGTATTTGGATAAGGGTGAAATGGAATGTTGATATTGATGAATTACTGTTGCGGGTTGTCGGTCATTCTTCGTGTGGCCGAGTGGTCCAAGGCGCTGGTTTCAGGCACTTCTGAAATGAGAATGAGTTCAATGCCATCCTCAACGTTCACTTTCACAATCACTCGCATGACACAGCCTCGACTATCACATATATACTAACACAAACACACAATCACAGCCAATCAACAACAACACTACCACTACATTCTCATTCTGTTCCGTGTCACTTCGAGACTTCATCTCAATAACAACACCGACCAGTTACAGTCCATTTCCTAGTCCCACTGACAGACAACATCGTCTGAATGCATCAAACTACTGTCATGTATGCCAAATGCTTAGTTCACCTGTGCTTCGTGCTCAAATCCCGAGTTCGACCACGAGCATTGTGTACAGGCAGGCAAGCAGACCATGGTCAACAGGCACATCTCGCCAGACAAACTGACCATGTTTCTGATGGACACCAGCAGACGAGTATTCAAGTATTGAAGATGAAAACTGCCTATTGATATAGTGCATGATACACACAAACGAACACTTCGGTTAGGATTTGGTGGAATAATATAATCCGCCCGGCAATTTTTGTAAACAAAAATTTCTCCTCACCCCATTAAAAACATTTTCCACCCCCAAATTACAATATTTTCCATCCCGTGTTTCGTCCAATGAAATGGCTAGTTTCAAAAATTAGATTTAATTGGTTAGTTATATCTTGAAAATTGTTATAAATCATCAGTACTTGTTGACGAAGCACATTTCAATCGTCATTATGAAGCAGAGTAACGTGCCAAGTATAAACGCTGGTGTTTCTCACGTAACGGAAATGGAGGAAGTCTTTTTGACAACATTGTTTCTGGTTGCGTTTCCATCGGTTGAAGCGTTAAAGACCACTATCACAAATTTTGACAGATCAACTTACAGTCATTATGTAGTGAGGGATTCGCATATTGGCAGAGATCAAAAATCGAATATTAAATTTCCGTGTTGGCGAAATAGGCGTACAAGATCTAGCGGTTCGTCACAACGTATTAGACGGAGGAGGTAATTTGGTAAATGGTTTTATAATTTTTTTAACGAAGGGCTTATATGAACACTCAATGTCCGGCCTTCATGTATCGTATGATTATATACGGCTACTGGACTGTTGTACGTGGGAATGTGCATCACAATCACGAGTGAAATTCCCTGAGGTACGACGGTAATTCATGGGTGCGCAGGTTAACGGATGTGGAGTTTGAAACTGTGAGACCGCTGCTGAATTCTGGTACCGCTGCATTCCACATAAAGAATTTTGCTTACCAATCTTATGGGAAACGTCTGACTAATCAAAATGTCTGTAATATGCGGTACAAAGTGTTCTCACACGCAAACCTTCCTGGTAAGCAATTTGCCAATTTGTAATGTACACTATAGGTGATTAAGGGAAATTGAAAGCTCACATAACATCCTTGGGTGGGCTTTGCGAATACGAATTGGATGATGAGAACTGTCTTTCGTATTTCTTCTTCATGACTGCTGAGCAATTGAATTTGGCCGGTCACTTTTTTGACGTAATTGGTTTTGACAGGACGTACAAAACGAATAACGGGAACGTCCATTTATACCAAGTCGTTGCCCTGGATATGAATTTTAAGGCAATACCCATCTGCATTGCCTTTCTAATTCGCGAAACGTCAACATTAATTTCTGTATTCCTGCGTTTTTTCCAACGGTGTACCAACAGTCGACAGCTGGTAGGCATTGTGACCGATGATTCACCTGCAATTGCTGCTGCTATTACGCAGGTGTATTCGGATGCACACCATATTCTGTGTCGCGTACACCTTGGTCGGAATGTGATAAAGGGGGTAAGTGTATCGTTCATTAACATTAACCCAGTAACCGTTATTGTAGAGGGTACGATCAGAAATTTTACAACTCTTCTTTCGCCTCATGTTCACTTGAACGGTTGAAAGGTAAAGCAAAATCTACATAACATGATTTCGTAGTTTTAACAACGTACTTTCGTTAATCGAAATGTCGGACGGAATGTTTGGCAGATGCGTCAGAGACCACCTTCTACCACGGAAACACAAATGGCCCACTGCTTTCCGACCGCCATCCACCCTCTTTGAACTGAACAGTACGAACGTCATGGAGACGAGTCACCGAGTCTTGTAGATGTGTAGAATTATGGTCTACTATGATATTAGTACTGCTCTAATAATAGACCTAATCCTGAAATTGTAGATTTGTCATGATATAACTGCCTAATCTATAAGATCTTACGTGGAAGTCACACCATCGGCTACATCAACTCACTGTATCGTATCAATTACCAGTACATTATGTAGAACAAGGTTAGGCTAGAGAAGGAACAATATATTTAATATGAATAGAAGATATAAGGTAACATTCAGCAGGGACCACGCCTGCATGGCCGAGCCATGCCGTTCGATCAACTCTAGTCCATTCAATTCATTCTCCGCGCCTTCTTCATTGTTAGGTATTTATCCGTGTTAAATATTGAATATCTATTTTCCGAGTAGTGTTGTGTTCAGCTTTGAAGATTGTGTGGTTATGGTCTAATGCCACTACACTACTCTCCCACCAGAATCAACGTGATGTTGGTTCGATACCAAATCGGATGGGATCGTCGCGCGCCGGAGGTTACCAAGGATAATAAGGATCCTCCGGGTATTGATAAGCTGAAAGATAAATCAAAAAGACGGCAGCATCTGGTCGGGAAATACATGTAATAATCTTAAAATATCTGCTTTCATGATTAACACGCTTAAAATGAAAATTTGGTTGAAGATTATTTGAACTATAAAAAATGGGATTACAATAATAATAATAAAACGATGCGTGTTAATAACTTAACTTATAGGCAGTAATTATTTTGTGTTTAGAAATATTAAAATAATGGATATTGTAGAAATGTTAATATTGGTATTAGTTTTGGTTTAAATTATGAAATCAGATAACGATTATGCCGGCAAGTTGTCCATAAGAGTTGAATTCCAATTGCATCTGTATTAGTAGGCTAACTGAAGGAACAAAAGTATACCGTGGAGAAGAATTCCAACTAGTGTTCCAGTTAGTTTGATACGGTTTATTTAGTTACGGTGAGATTTTCTCAACCTCATTTTTACTTGACCGTGATAGAATTTAGTAATACTACTAATACACATGAATGGTTATCAAAATAAAATTTACATACATGAGTGATAATTATATGGATTTTGGACGGATAGCTAGGAAAAATCGTTAAACATGAGTGTGTTCGTAGAGACATGCTCTAGACTCAATGTTCTGATCTGCGATAGACTATTTATTTATATTTATACTTGCCGGCTGATCGGCATACAAGTTAGTTGCACGTATGCGGGCAGAATACGATTTAAATGAGATATGGTGATTATAAGTTACTGAAATCAGTTAAGCCTATGTCACATTACTAAGTGATGTGGTGCTGTAAGATGTACTCGGCCAAATACGTTTTTACAAGATGATTAACCGTGAGTGATGCTCATGTGATTATCAGGGAGTACATAAGTTGTAACCAAGGGGAGTACACTCCCAACTCATGTCTATGATAATGGCTTAAACCTTAGTCAGTGTTGGGGTAAATTCGACATTGATGTTTTCAGTTTGCAGGAGATTTGCTCGACTGCTTATACTGATTATTTGCATGCATGATTGTGTCGCCAAACCATCAATTAGACTGACAAGGTTTTGAGATATTTACTGAATGAGCAACTAATAGAGAAACATACTGTAATCATCTGTGATGGATGAAGATACCAAGAAAATAACACCATTTAATGGTAATTATAAGTCAATTTGTTGACCGATTTCGTTAATAGTTTCATTAATTTTATCAGTCATATTACGTGATTGTCAAGTTATGACAATGCTTTATGATGATATCCTGAAACTATTATGTTTAACTAGTTATAGTGTTGACTGAGGATTAGTCAATGGAAAAATAGGTATTGCTGGTTTAGGTGATTCGAAATCATCAGAAATTTATAACGTTAAAGAATCCGAGACGCCTAATTTAATTATAAATTTCAATTCAGAAATATTCGTTTAGTGTTAATTTTAGTAGGCTACGGAGTTTTGATTTTAAACGTTTGTTTAGCCAACAGCTACCTGGGGATTTGGTTATTTTACTAGTGCAGTTGACAGTACCTAAATTTTTAATCTTATTATCTAAACTATGTTCGCATTTTAGGCTG